CTGCGTAGATGTCACATGTAGCTCCTTGTCACCGACCATTCTGCTTCCAGGGTCTGTGGCTTCCTGATCCCGCCTGAATTTTTCTGCAGCCTGGGGGCTGGAAATGGTTCCGATGACAGTGGCCGCACAAGCCAGAGCCACTTCCAGCGCGCTCTGGCCTGGTTCACTTGAATGTTCCTCCTCAAAGTAATCCAAGACTTGGGCAGTGCTCTCCACTTCAGCCCAGTGGCACAGGCTGGGGAGGGCAGACCCTGGCCAGTCGGGGACGTTCTCGGAGCTGTCTGGGCTCTGCACTATGACAATCTTTGGCAGCTCGTTCCACGATCGGGCAGCAGACGCGTCCTCTGCCTGGCAGGAGCTCCCCACGGAGATGCTGACCGCGGCCTCCTCACTGAAAGAGGGCTGAGACTGTGACAGCCTGATGAAGGCGTCCTGCAGAACTGATTCTGCTAAGTTTGTGGCGTACTCACCCGTAGTCGCCTGCTCGTTTGGCCAGGCAGGATCAGCATTCCCCACATTCGCACAGTCCACCCCGTCCGTCTCACCACTGTCGTGGGCCGCTGGGTCGTGCAGAGGTCCCAGCTCCTCCTCGGCCGTTTTGGTTGGAGAAACATCTAACGCGAGCGCTGAGCGGGAACCTACGGCATCGCTCCTCAGATCCGTGGTGCTAAAGGGTGAAGTAGCTCTTTCAGCTAATTCCTTCTGCCACAGCATTTCCTGGTCTGACTTATCTTCAGGTGCTGAGAGTCCATCTTCAGCCACGGCATTCGCAGCTTCGGAGGCTCTGGCAGCTGCATTTTCTTTGTTAATGCAGTTCCCTTCAGGAATGAATGGCAACCTGGCTTTTCTGTAGTGGAGATTTTCAAATCCCTTTCCTTTATTTTTTTTGGCATCTGAAGAAGCTTCTGAAACACTTAATTTTTCATGACCTATTCAAAGAAAAACAAGAAATTAGTTTCTGAAGAGTACCTTTTTTTTTTTTAAAAAAAGTGTTTTCTTAAAAAGAAGCCAGCTGCACAACTGTATAATGTGTTACTGCTTGTAAAACTACCGTGTCGCCAGGGTTCCTTATTTTTGAAAAACAATTAAAAAAAATAAATGGTTGCCCATTTTCTAAATTACAGATAAATGCAGGCATGGGTCAACATCAAGCATGGTTTCTGTGTGCGCTGCCACGACTGTTTGGCAGCACCAACAGGAGCAAGGTTATGCTTTGTACCCATTTTACATTCGTCGGCCTCGTTGTCATCCTCGAGGTGCTCGGACGCTGTGAGGAAATCCTCTTCGATCGAGGAGACGGAGCAGTTTGTGTCATCCTCGGGCTTTAGGACATGAGCCCCTGCCTGCAGCTGCCTCTCCTGAACCAGCTCCAGCCCCATCAGGAACTTGTTGATCTCAACGATGATGCAGCTCGCGCTGCTCCTCCTGCCCGGCCGCGCCCGCGGCACCAGGCACACGTCGGCCAGCCAGGGACACTGCGGGGAACCAGTGCAGGGGCTCGCGTTAACAAAGAAGGCTTCACGCGCACACGTTAATTTCAGTGCAATTAACAAGTTCCCTGCTTTTATTTTTTAATTTTATTTTTATTAATTTTTTTTTCCCTGCGGTAGTTAAAACTGGAGATGCCTGTTCACATTTTAAGTTTTGTACTCCGGAATAACTCTGCAGTTTTAATGAAGTTGTTCCCAGCTCATGCTTGGCCAAAGGAGATCAGAATCGGGATGAAAAATCTTTTTCATCGTCTTTCTTTGCACAGGCATGAACAGGCATACAAAGTAAGACAAAAGAGGAGAGGAAGAAGCAGCTTTTTGTTAAACTTCTGGCACTTGTGTCTCTGCTTTGTGCTCCCTTTTTCCCATTTCCCAAATCCCGTCCTTTGCGCGTGCGATAGGATCTTAAAGACGAGTTTGGCTCCTACCTGGGGAACCTCATAATCAGCTGGAAGGTCCCCTGGCGCTAACCCACTCAGCAGGACGATCTCGTTTTCCTTCGGTGGCTGCACGTTCATCGAACTGATGAGTTTGGGGAGGCTCGGAGAGATGCTGACCAACCTCTGTGGCACCAAAGACAGATTTTGCTCTCAGGCACTGAAGTCTGAGCTGCATGGCTGTATTCATAAATATCAAACCGAAATACCACTTTACAGGCATCCCTTTACAAAGGTTACTTGGGCTTACTGCTCTGAGTCGATTAAAACCAGAAGCCGTGATGTTAAAAAGCCCGTTCCACCGGACACCCTCACAGCTCACGTTCGCAGCCACCCTCCGACGGCCGAGGTGCTGAGGGAGCACAGGTCCTGGGCGCCCAGCCCTACCCTGAGTTACTCTGCCGTTCAGTGGTACTTCCTCGCTTTTACCTTTCCGTCTTCAAAGTAATAAGCCTGCAGAACTGTTATTTTGCATTGGAGTGAATTAGATACAATAAAACTTTCTGGCTTAGCAAAGCTAATTCAGTTTTGGGGAGCAATTCACTGTTCGGTAGACTGATTTTCAGATGAAGCTAGGTATTTGTATTTGACATAAATTCAGTGCTACAATTCAGTTTGACATTTCAGAATAGTAGAAAAAAAGTTTTCAGCCTTTTCTCTTTTTCAAATTATAACCTCTTGGTTATCTTACCCATTTCTCTACATATCTCTCTTTTTCTGCTACCTAAATTGCTGCATTTTATCAGATTTCTGAGGTAGGAAATCATGGCATTTTGTACGTCGCTGACTTCAGAGTTCCTAACCTTTTGTTTAGAATGAAAAAGAAAAGCCTGGAAAGATTATTTTACAACAAAAAAAAAAAGTTTAGCCCATTCCAAAGCTCAATGAGTAATGCAAAAATCTTATTAGTAAATAGTTCTATACTTGATATGAAAACCAGCTGTGCCAACATCTTTAAAATTCTTCCATGGAATGCTTCCGCTGTATCGGTGTGCTGTATAAAAATCCACCCCACCCAAAGCTAACTGCATAAAGGGCTAATTGCCATTGTTACACAGGTCACATTATCAAAGCATCTGGCGTTCGAATGAGTAAGACTGGTCAGCCGAACAAGACCTAAATGAGCAGAGGATCCTCAAAGGCTTTTTGGCAGGAGGAAAGAGAGGCATCAGAAATTCTTTTTATGTAGTAATATGGCACATTAAAAACTTGGAGGCGTGACACATGCATGTTCACTTCTCTGGTAAAGCCAAGGCTGAGCACTCAGGTGGTAACCACCATGAACTCACAGGATGCAACAATCATTAGATATTTCTGGGATGGGAGTAAGAAAAGCTACAAAACATGGCCTGGTGGTGAGGTGCATCCGATCCCTGACGCATTCCTCTCTGGAAGGGCTAAAAACCTAGGGCTGGCTTTGATTCGTGCATGGAATTTTGATCTGGGTTTGTAGTGACCAGACCCGCCGTGTGTGGTGTTAAGACCAGAGCTGTTACCTGTTTCACTTGCTCATCGCTGCCATCGTCTCTATTTGCGTCTAAATTCACGAAACAGACCTGTGGAAAGAGAGGAAAAGGAAACAGTAGCTTATAAAGTCTTGCTAGACTGCCAGCAACACTTTTAAAGCCAATACGTGTTCCTTTTCTAGCCTGGCAGCTGAATATGTGAATCCTTTTATTAGAACGAGAAAGGTCAGCAAGGGGAACAGTGGAGCAGATATTGTGAAAGGAAAAAGGAGCAGAAGTCACGACTTTAGCTGCTCTGACAATTAGCTTGTCTGATGAACGGGCAGATGTTGCCAATAAACTGTAATACGGAGGATATTAGAAAAGATAGAGGAAATGTTAAAGGTGTGTTTGGTTGTACATCGGAAACGCTCCTCATGTCTTGCTGTTCCACTGATTTCTTCTTTTCCAGCACTTGTTGCTAAATGTTTCATAAGTCTCCCGCTTTTAGAGTTTTTCTCCACACCACATAAATATTGTAGTATTTCTCCTAACTTCTCGAGCTTCCTAAGCAGAAGTTTAAGACTTTATGGGTTTGTTTTGTTTTGTTTTTTTTAAGCCAATACACAAGCAGAAGTTTTCGGAAGCTCATTTCCAAGAGTCAGATCTTTTGTCTCTTCTTTGATCATTATGAGTTTCAGCAACCGTTTCACAGTAGTGAGAGTAATTTGAACTGAAATCTCACATCTAAAGCCCATTCCATTTCTTAAGACTTTTTTTTTTTTTTTTTACATGGCCAGAAGGCCATTTTCTAATTTTTCAGAAATAAGAAAATGCCTCCTCCAGCTCTATTTCTAAGTCAGAAGCAGGGACTCCAAAGCTAGGCTGACTGTCCTACTTCTGAGCGCGGCAGATATCTCTCTAGAGGTTTGTGAGGGTTTGGTGTTGTCTTGATTTAAACCCAAACTTGGCACAGGTTCAGGGCTGAGCTGAAGCCAACCCCCGATCCCAAATAAATTGCAGATCCAGAATTTAGCTTTGAAGAGCTGAGTGATTTCTTTTATTTTCTTTTTTTTTCCCGCCTTTTTCCAGCAAACCGTAAATACTTCTTTCCCTAATTCCATGTAGGTTCCCCCCCGAAAAATGAAATGCTCTAAATTACCCCCTGCACCAATATTCTTGCATCTGAGATCCTGTCGTGTGCTTGCCCTTACGCTGAGACTATGCGGATATCAGTTTATATATGCATGTACCATATGTACATGTTGTGACCATCTGCAGTAACAGCCAGCACAGCAGATGGAAAGATCCAGCCAGGCCTCCCATTGCAAAACAAAAAAACTCCGCTGAAGAAGAAACCTTTTCGCCCTTTTAAATAGTTTGATGGTGTCTTCCTATGAACTTAAAAACACACCTCCCAAGATTTGTAAAAATTTAGGAAAAATATTTCTCTGCTTGACAATGTCAATGAACTCGGTAATGCTGTAGTAGAAGAAATAATGGTCTAAGCAGGAATATCTATTATTTAAAGTCATATTCTCTGTCCTTCATCTATGATGAACTTAGATTGTAAAATTTAGTACCAAATCCAGATTCCAAATACACTTGTCAAATTCAATTGATGCTCATTTATTGCACTGCCAATGCATTCTCCTAGCATTTTCCTGCTCAGTGGAATTTGCAGGTTTTAATTATAGACAATTTTTAAACCAAAATAGTTTTGCACTGGTGAAAGATGCTGAAGAACTCATTTTCTGTTTTGGTTTTTGCTGACTGAGACTGCCCCTGCTGTGAGCAGGAGCGGGGAAGGGGTGGCTTCTTTAATTGTGAATTAATTTCTTAGAGAGATGTTTCACTAGAGGTGCTTAAAGAGAAAAAAGATCATTTGGAAAAATCCCCCAGCTTTTTCTGCTTATGCAATACGAGAGCTAAGCCCTCGTGAGCCTGCGTTACCTGGCAAACTTCTAGCGTTATCACACACCTCCATCCAAACAAGGCAAAGCAACGCTGCAGAATAATTCATGATCTTTAGGAGGGAAATATTGCATAGGTTATGAAGGAAGAGCCAAAGCCAGGTCAGCATTTGTTAACCTCAGTTTAATTCTGGCTTTTTTCCTTTGGGTGAGATGCAAATTAATGTATTTTAGCTAGTTTAACTGGAACTTAACCTCGTCCTAATCATAGTGTCTTTAAATGTCAGTCCTTACCCATCCACTTCCCCTTTACGCCTCACCTCCTCATCATCGCGCAAACATCTCTGCACTTCTAAAATGTGTCTGGTCTCTGTGCATACTGAGCCACTGTCTGGAAACCATGGAGAAACACCAAGATACCGCTTTTTTTTTTTTAGCCTCTGTCTTAGGAAATGCTTATTTTGCGGGACAAAGCATCAAAAATTAAATGGTGTTACAAAATACAGAACAGGGAAAGAACCCCGCCCGAATGCTGGCTTTACACAGCGAGATGGTCACTCCCTGCCAGGTGCTGCTTTGGGCTCAGCTGTGTTTCCAGGGCAGAAACTCGGTTTGCTCGAGGGAGGACAATTCTTCTGGCGGCCACGTCCCACTGCGCTCGCAGCGGGTCTCGAGGCGGGCAGAAAGCAGTTTGCTGCCTGAGCAGAGCCTGCCTGGTGCACGCCCGCTGTGCCAGCATCGGCTCCCCGGTGAGGGCTGCAGAGTCAGCTCTCTAGATCGACAATTTCAGGTCCCAAAATCAACTCTTGAGTCGGTGTAGAAACTATGCAGACACCTCAGTGTCCGCCGCCTGAGAACGGCAACTATTACTTCTTAAAAGAAAAACATGTTAAGAAATAATTTATTTCTAAAGCACTAAGGGATGTAACACACCAGACACGATATATTTTACTCATTGACAGATGGCCTCAGGGAATTGCTAAAATCATAACACTCTTCTCACTTTGGAAGAGTAAAGCAATTTGCGGTTTTTTTCAGAGTACTGATGCTGGCAAACAGCTGAATGACAAGCAAAGAAATAGATTATTGTCTGTATTTTCCTTATTGCTTTCATTTCAGCTTATACTAACCAAGGCTGGCATTACTGGCATTTTAATATTCCCTAGATAAAAGGCACACTGATGGCAAGGAAGAAGCACTGCCCCAGAGTTATAATAACAACAACAGTAATTTAAAAAAAACCCACAAACCTGTGTAATTTTCAGAAGTGTCTGTTCCGAGGTGAAGTCTATTTCAGTTCTGAACTATCTTCTCCAGATAGGAGATGGGCAAACTATTTTTTTCTGTTTGTTAGTGCTAATGCCTCTATTGTCTGTATCGATGCCTGTCAGTGAGGGAAGGCTTCTTCCTTGTCCTAGGAAACAGCTTTTGGTGAGATTAAAACAAGCCTAGCTTGTTTTGTTAAACTTTTTTTTTTTTTAAATGAGGAAGAAAGTCTGTTTACTTATACATTATGTACCGTCCTCCCAAAGAAATTTCAGTATCTGCTTTAACAGAAAGGAGTTTAAACTGAAGAGATAAGGCTTGAAAATTAGAACTGTGCAGATGGCTCGTGCACCTTGCATTCCACCTCGTGCGCCCCGGTTTGTGCGAGGCGGGATCCCTGCCCGGTTCTGTGAGCAGAGCACTGCAAAGAGGTGCAGAATTATGGAGAAGCAGTGTCTCTGCCATTTCCTAACACCACTTGCGTTTATGGGATGGAAGTTCTAGAATTCCGAGCCCCTAATTCCATCTGTGCAAAAGCAGACCATGAATATGGTTGCTCTAAAATGACCAGCAAGGTCCACAGATTTTTGACTTGCATCAGGATGGCATAAAATGCCTTTTCCAGCAGATTCTAGCAGGGCAGCCATCTGGTTTTTTCCATCTGTATGGCAAGATCATTTGTTTTGATGGTTATCAAAATGCTGACCTGCAAAGCTCCCAAAAAAGAACCTTGCACTTATTTTCACTTGAATTACTTATGCTAACATGAAGGCTAAATAAAAACTCTTAGGACCTCTTGTGAGATATATACATATATATATGCATATATATATATACACAAAAATACACGTAGGCTGTCTGTAAGGACCCATAATTACTGACCTCTATGTTCTTTAAGCTTGCAGGTTCTTGAGTCTTGCAGACCTAGTAGAGTTTCAAGTACCATTTATTTATTTATTTTTTAGAAAGACAAACAAAATAGCTGTAAAATGACAATTGCTAAATAAGCGTTCTAAAATGTCACATGAGATTACCCTTTGGCTAATAATTAGACAAACTACCTCATAATTTTGGACATCCTAGGAATTTTTTTAGCCTCTAGTTTTGGTAGGACTTGCATGAAAGGAGGCTGCTTGTGCGAATTTTTGGGAAGCTCGTGGCTTCGTTGTTTCACCACAACCGTCTGCTAAAAGAAAACCTTCCCAACTGACACCTGAGGTTCCTCCCAGTACAACCTGTACGATGTGGCTCTGAGTCACGTCCTGAAAAGCTGCTGCCAGGTTTTCCCTGTGAGAGCAGAAGCCTCCCTGCGTTGCACCTTCAGAAACGTGAGGGCTTGGGCAAACTCCTTGAGTCTGGCAGAGATCTTGTATCGACAGCGCAGTGACAGCCTCGGTCACCATGTGTGTCTGGGGTGTAAAACCTACCTCACAGAAAGGACTTGCATCCAGCAAGGCCAAAAGCAAGATCCAGCTTACTATTTCCACCCTTTGCCTGCCTCTTGTTATCCTTAAAAAGTTCATGTTTCTCTGTCACCACTTTAATTCGCAGACTGGGGTCAAAAGTGGCTCTTTCTGCAAAATGAGTATAAAGTATTACTGCTTGTGCAGGACTCCAAAGTTAACGTTCATTTCTGTCAAGTGTTATGTGACTGCATTAGTCTTCTGAATTACTTCTTCCTAGGTCTTATGCTTATTTATTTATGTGGATATACAGAGAAGAGAATATTGATGGTGCGTTAGTAAATGAATGTTCAGATTTTTGGGACATTTGTCTACTAGTATTTTTTAACACACCAAGATAGTCTCATTGGTACAGTGTTGCTCTAAACTACCAGAAAAATCAATTATTTTTTCCCCAAAGAAATTTGTATGTCATGTAGAAGCAAAAAAAAGGAGATTAAAAAGTTATAAGTACTTAAATCCATTCTGC